CTGCTGCGGCTGCTGCTGCTGCTGCTGCGAGGAAGCGTCGATGGTGGCCGATGTTGGCGAGGTGGATGGATGCGAGGAGGAAGAGGTGCGGCGTTGCAGGCTGTGATCGTAATGCGACGGCATCCAGCGAGCGCTATCGAGGTGTGAGAAGCGGCCAGACGGAGGATCCGACTCGAGCCGGAACAGACCGCTGGCTGGATCGGTGTGGTCGAGGGGTGTGGTGATCGCGTGTGGCAAAGATCGATGCCAGCGAGCGTAGACGGCGGTTGTCGAGCGTGTGAGTGAGGGGGAGGGCTGCAGTCGGTTGCGCCGATAGAGCAATGATTCACGATTTGAGCCGGCTCCACACTGCCAAGTCGGCACCGCCGCACCGCCGTGTGCTGCTGCTGCCGGCCCAAGCCAAATCGCGATACTATCAGTTGGGGCCAGAAAAGCGCGTTCGGACCATCAGCAGCAATCCAACTCCGGGCGACTCGGCTGGCATGCGACCCTGCATTTCACAGTCACATAGCCCACAAGTCACAAGTCACACTCCCACGCCTCTCGTCCAGGTTATACGGAGCGAGGCCGATCCGATGCAAGCCCGTTCTGCTGCTATTCTGCCTGACACTGCCGACGAGAGAGAGAGAGAGAGGTTCAAAGCGACCCGCTTTGGTCGCCGGGTGGGGGCATCAAAGCTCAATGACAAAGCCCGGCACTGGCTCGGTGAATATCGTAGCAGCGCCGAAAGTCACGTGATGCCATGCGCCACCGACGCGAGACGAGGTGCGGTGGGAAGCAGTGGGGCGGCGGTGGGGGCTCTTTTGGTGGAGTGGAGTGGAGTGAGCGCAATTTCGGCGCGAAATGCAACGGCCTACAGAATCCACTTTTGACCCGACCCCTTGGCCGTCGACCACCACCTTGCCTCCCTCTCACCTTTCCTCTACTTTGATCTAGCCCCGACAGCAGCATCTCAGCATCCATTCGTATCGCACACACGCATCCCGACTACAAGTACATTTCTATAGATCCATCCTTGGGGGGCCCACCGCCAGGATGCATCCACGCGGCGGCTTTGTGCTGTCCGAGAATCAGGCGTTTGCAGGCCAGACGCGCACACCGGGACCATCGCGGCTGCATGCGTCGCCAACGCGAAAGAACATGACGACGGGCAAGCGCGCCCTGGGACAGTCATCCAAGCTGTTTGGCCAAGAGGGAGCTGCGAATGCCAAGCAGCTCTTCCAGGACTCGAAATCGCCCGTCAAGGCTCTGGGAGACCGCAACGCACTCAAGACGCCAGGAGCTTCGCGACTGGCTGGAGGCAAGCCGGATGCATCCATTCGCAAGGACAAGAACGCTTTCGCGAGCAAGCAAGACTCGACGTCACCCACCAAGAAGGGCGGCTCGGAGCTGAGTCCACGCAAGGCGACCACATCGAACGCGCTGAGATCGCTCAATGGCAAGCAGCGACAGCTAGTCGACCCAAAAACGCCCGCTCCGACGCAGCTCAACGGCAAGGCAAGGGCGGTGAGCCGCCAGAACAGCTTTATCACGCCGGCGGCCAACGTGGGGCGTGCGGGACAGATCAAGGCGCGCATGGGCGAGATGCTCGACGCCGAGATGGGACTGTCGCTCAGCAGGGCAGATGGCGCGGTGGCACCGGTCGCGGAACCGCCGGCGGTGCAGATGAGCGAGGAAGAGATGTATCCCGAGATCGAATACATGCCTCCGAGCGTGTACGCCAAGCATCCCGTGTTCGAGTTTCCCGACGAGCTCGACGATCTTCCGCGCGCCAAGCAGCTCGGTGCCCAGCTGTCGTCGTTCACCGCCATGGCCTTCAGCGAGGGTGGGCCAGCGGACCTGAGCGACGTCGAGTTCTCGCCCATGCAAGCCATCGACGGCGAGCTGACGGTGGCACGCGGTGCGGCGGCGGCCAGCGACGATGACGACGACGATCCGTGGCCGGACGTGGCGGTGGCAGTGGACGCTGCACCTCGAAAGATAGCTGCCAAAGCGAGCGCGCCAAGTGTTCGCAGTACGGCCGCTGGTGTACGTCCAAGCGTCGGTGCCAGCGCAAGGCCGACGACGAGCGGGGCCAGAAGCACCACGACGCTAGCGAAGGGAGCTACGCAGCCTGCACGTGGGCTGCAGCGATCGATCGCGCCTGCAGCCAACAGCAGCGCGACGCGCCGACCAGGAGTTGGTGCCGCTGCTGCTGCCAAACCGTCGTCAAGCTCTACGGGGCTTTCAGCTGGAAGGGGAGGTGTGCGAGTGGCAGCGCCGGCCTGCAAGATGGTGCTCAATCCCGAGCTGATCGACTTTGTCGACGACGAGCTGGGCAAGCAGACCGAGGCGGCGCTGCGCAAGATCGACGACGAGGACGACGACGACCTAGCCACTCTGCAGCTGGATTTGGGAGAGGCCTGATCGTTCATGGCCATTTTGTAGACAGCATAGATAGCATGCCCTATACCATTCAAGAAAGCATAGCACCAACAGCTTGCGAGAGTGAAAGGGGCCGTGGAGTGTGCGTTGTTGGCCTCGGCGTGGATTGGAGTGTTTGAGTGTTTGTCTGTTTGTCGGCAGGCGGCGAGTGCACATTTGGATTAAATTTCCAAAAAGAAACGCGCGACTGCACAGCAACAGCACCGCACCGCACCGCACAGGGCAGCCGCACAGCAGTGTGAGCCGAGCGTAGGGTGGCCGTCGGGGCGTGGCCGTAAGTTAAAGGCGCGGTCCATGCACTCTCCCTCTCTCTCTTTTTAGGCAGTTTTGGCTGGCAAAGGGCACAGAGCGAGAGACCGAGAGAGAGAGAGAGCGGCGCAGGCATCCACTCCACTCTGCAACGCTCGCTCGGCCAAAGGTTGGGGGTTGGGGATCGCACATCGCGCGGTGCTCCTTCTTTGCTTCATCCTCCTTGCCCTTCCAAGCACCCGCCTGCTACCGTCCGCAGTGCACGACGCTTCTGCACCTCATCCACCGGCACACACTGGCACGTCTGCTTACGACCCACACTCACACCCACACACACACGCAGCTGCCACCGATTCGACCGTGGATAGCAGCTCACATCATTCGCACTTGGCAATCCCCTTTTTTGGCACTTGGCGCATGATCCACACACTCGCCGCAGTCACTCGCCTCTGACCGGCACGATTGGCTCAGTCCGCTCTGCCACCATGTCGCGCCATTCGGGTGCCTTCTTTGGCGCAGACGACGTCTCTTCGCTGCCCCTCCACAACGACCCGCACGTCGGCATCAACATGTCCGGCCTCGACCTGATCAACGCACAGCACCAGAACGCGCAACACTCCAACCCCGCCTATCCTCCCAGCCCGTCTTCCATGCGATCCCCCCACTCCTCGCACGGGCATGCTTCCAACAACAACAACAACAACAACAACAACAACAACAACAACAACAACAACAAC